GAAGATCTGGGACTCAATTAATCGTAGAAAACTGCGACGGTCGTGAAAAAAGGAATAACATCTTTCTTGATTCTATGATATCTATAATTGTAGTTCACATTCGAGTTTTGATCACGAACATAGGTGGCCTTGGTACATCTTATATTCTTGGAAACCTGGATTCCAACATGTACTTGGGAAAGCTAATTTCGTTTTTAGACCCAGTTCTTCCCAGTATATCCTGTACTGACTTTGCAAGGTGTTGGCACGCTCAGACAGACGGCTGGGCGGCATCGACATTCCACAGCAACTGCGATGGGAGGGGACCCACGGTGACAATCATCAAAGTGAACAGCTACATCTTTGGTGGATATACTGACGTGTCCTGGGGTGGAGGTAGGTATATATATTAAGTTTGTTAAGAAGAGACAAAACAATTCTATCGGATTAATCATTTTTCCCCTCCTGTATTTTGGCCATCACGATGTCTTCACACATATATAGTCCATGGATATGATTGTTAGTCGATACACGTGCAGCACAAGATTACATCCAAAAACATCTAGTAATAACAACACCAAGATCAAACGTCTAGTAATGACAACTCTAAGCTCAAAGGGTTCTTTTCCTTCAAGTCTCATTAAGTTTTACTCGCTTTTCTTTAGAGTGATCACTCAACCTAGTGGGCTTGGAATTCATCTTTTCTATCGGATATAATATTTTCGAAGCCTGATTTACAAGGTTGAATTTTTTTTTTTCAGTTCTCGAATACACTTCTACATTTAAAGATCAAGTAATAGCTAAATGACTTAAATCTGTGCGTATATCTGAAGAAAGTGACAGATAACTTTGAGTAATTTTACATCTTGCTATTTTAAAAAAGATTTTGGATAAAATTTTGGGCCTGGGTACGAAAATAAAAATTTAAAACAAATGTTACCAGGAGCCCATTAATGGGCTTTTGATGTCACCCAATATTTTGCCATGTCCATTGAAGTATTTTGTAACAGTTTTTATGCCCAAATTCGTAACATCTCTCCCTTCCACTCACAAACATCTAGCCTGGAAAAACTCCCCGTCTAGTCTATGATAGAAAATGAACCCCCTCCCCTCAGGGGGTTAATGTTTTCTTCCAACTTCCAACCCACGACTACATTGTTCTTCTATTTCAGCTGGTTCTTGCGCAGGTTATTCTTCCTCCAGTAAGGCGTTTACCTTCTCTCTCTATAACGACAGAGGATACAATGCTGTGAAGCTGACGCAATACCGAAACCAGCAATATGCGATGTACAGATGTAATACGTATGGACCTACCTTTGGTGGTCCAGGGTATCATGATATCTACATATCCAACGACGCTGGGAATGGCCAAAACTCTTACACCTTATGCGGTAAAACGTACTCGACGCCCACAGGGTACTCAACTGGAAACTGTGGTTTTTTTACAGGGGGGTATAATTTTTCTCCAACGGACATAGAAGTATTCTATGAAACAGGTAATTAAAAAAAAGACACCTTTTCAAGGATAAATAATTAATGAGACGTGTGGCAAAATCAATTCGTGGAATGTAGAATTATTCTCTAAAAGATGTGTTGCTGGAGTACGAATAGCTTACCTTTTTTCC